ACACACACACAGAGCGTTCGCGAGCCGCCGAGGTAGTGCCGCGTGTTTTTGCTCGCGCATTAATTAAACTCCAACTTAAGCAACCGGCTGCACGGGCCAGACGTAATTTTCCACCGCTACGCGTGATCCTCGCGCGGTCTTTGATGCACCAAGACTAAAGCTCAAATGCCTCTCATGCAGCTCTGATATGCAGTAACTGCGTGTGTTATTGATGTTGCAAATCGGAGAATTCGGTGGTCGGATTTTCATATAACATTATATCGGATTACATCAAATATATTGACGCTGCAATAGATATAAATGCTTCCATTGATTGTGGATTCCTCTTTTAATTTCATATGTTATATTTTAACACAAATGGAGATTAAGCTTATTACAAAATCTTTTTAATCTCTTTTATTCTAACGAATTTTCAATCTACATATCAGTAATTGTACTGTTGCGGATAAAAGAAATATTCTTCCGCGGTATTTCCGAAGATAAATTTATTTATTTATTTATTTATTTCAATTCACAGAAGAATAATTAAAAGCGGCGCTTAGATCCTCTTTTTATCGAAACGAAAAACAAAATTGTTTATTCGTCCATTATACGGACAGCGTATTTAAAGTCAGTATGTACACAGCAACTAATTAACATGAGCTTTTCCTTTTACACAACGCTATTGTGCATAAAGGACAGGTTAGAACTTACCCTCATACCGGCATCCTCTCTATCTCCCATGTTAATAGCTCAATTAGTATTCTGCAACAAAGAAAACAAAATACATCATTTGCAATTTGTCTTGAATTTCGAAGCGTCTCCTTCGGAGACGCTGTAATTTTAAAAGTGCACATATAAAGTAAACGGCCGAATCGCTTAGCAGGCGAATACACTGTGGAATGGAAAGCAGGTTTATTTACGGTCGGAGATAATCATAAATAATTTAACACCACGTCGTACCGCGCATTCACACTGCGCGCAAGTAGATGGTATTGTCAACGGGGGTTTCCGCGAAGGTTTCGCATCGCTCGGCGCTCACGTTCGCGCGCCCAGATTCACCGAATAGACGTAGCACTCGCAGATAAGGTATAAGCGAGCATCTCTCAGAACCGTCGAGCGACCATAATCGATCAGCTGGATGCTGAAAAGCGGCTCGAACAATTTCACGCGGAGATATACACAGGGTGTCGCCACAGGCATTGTAGCAACATTGCAACGTTTGTAAATGATAAAATCTTTGAAAAATGGAAATAATTTTAGCACAAAGCTTATTTATAAAATTTAAAAAAAAAACTTGCTGAAATTATATCAGTTAGAAAAGTACAATTTTTATATTTTACAAACAGTAAATGTATGGCGCGTTAAAGTATTTTTGTTTGTATTTTAAGCTTAATTACGTTGTTCTCACAAATATTCTACACTGTTATTTCAGGTTTAAATTTTATCTGGTTTAACAATCACTATTACATATAATATATTTATAATTGTAAATAGGCAGAAATATATGTATTAATCTTTTTGAAGAGCTATATCTATCCATTAAACTTTGATTCAAATTATGATGTAATCTTCAAAATTTATATAATAAATCACATGTGGAAAACTCTCTCTCTCTCTTAAAAATGGAAAAAGATACAATAACTTATATCAAATTCTTGCTGAGAGGAGTTAGCCACGGATTTGTTAGAATACCTGTCATTGACAGCTGACGCGATAGAAAATGGACACCCCGTATACAGCTCTATCTACGTTACTCAAGGAGGGTAGGCGAACTTACACCGTCAGATAACCGGTAAAACGCAGAAACGGTATCATATTTTACGTTGCTCGAGGGACGAGTAAACAACGTATCTGGGCCAGCTGAAAAATCGCACCTCGCAGTATCTCGGGAGAGTGACGGCGTACTATGTCCCTTCCTCTCTCCCCGCTATTCCGGCATGATCGACACGTCGTTTATTTACGGCTTATTAAAAAAAGAGCCAGCCGGCTAGAGTCGACAGCGGCGGGAACGCCTCTCTCTGCGGACATTCCGGCTCACGAAAACAAATTCGAATGTCCGGCCGGTCGATAGAAGAGATAAGAGGATCGTCCTGATCCTGTCCGGAGCCGGCCTCGGTCGAACGAAAGAAACGAGAGAGCGAGAGAGCGAGCGAGCGAGCGAGCGAGCAAGCGGTCGGTCGGTCGCGGTGGGAAGAGAGTAAGGCAAGGCAACATTTCTCAGGCACACGGACGCGCGGAGCCATAATCAATCCGGTGGATGTTGAAAAGAGGCGCGAGCTATCTCGCCCAAGGATCCAGGATGGTACCCGCTCTCTCAGCGGGTAGTCCGCTTTACTTACGTAGAGACAGAGAGCCTGGTGTACGCGCGCCGCCCGCGAGAGTCCAGAAAATTGCACAAAGGCATCCGTAATTTGAGTTTCATAACTTTTACGGAACGGCGAAAGCTTCTCCATTTCCGGAAGTATCGCGCGGCGCGCGGCCGACGGTGACATAATGCGAGACGAAAATATATTCTGCAGCGTCCGGGCCGGCTAATGCGGTAAGGAGGAGTGACGCGTCGGTAAGCAACGAAATGTAAATTGGACACGAAATTGATGCCGGCGAAACGAGGTGTGTTTTTGCGAAGATTTTATATAAGCAGCCGGGACCCGCTTTCCATATTGCATTTTCGGAGAAGTACCCGCGAAAATAAATAACTTCCAAGGCCGATATCTCGATTCTCCATCGAAGCTAGAATCGATCCGCTCCAAGTTTCTTCGCGGATTAAGGAAACGGTCTCGTAAATTCACGAACGGATGCAAACGATGTTATAAGGAGAGAGAAAGGAAAAAAAAAAGCGGAGAAGAAACGGAGGAAATGACGAGAGAAAGAAGGGAAAAGGGAGACGGAGAAGGAGTTACGCGGCTAAGGAGGCGAGCGAGCCATAATCGATCCGGCGCGCGCGCGCGCTGAAAGAAAGGAGGCGCGAGCTATCTCGCGCTCTCGCGAGCTGGAAAGAACGAGAGAGGGAACACGGTTGTCCAAGGCCCCGGCGCGGAGATGGTGTTTGCGGCGGGCTCTCCCGCTCGCAGCGGGAAGTCCGAAGTTCGTGCAGAAGGGACTGTGTCGGCGTCGTTCCCGGTTAACTAGATGCCAGCCGAGATTCCACGGTGAAGGGTTGGACGGACGGACGGACGGACGCGGACCTGGCGGAGGTAATCATAAAGCCACGATGAGAAGAGAAGGTGGAGGACGCGCGGGAGAGGATGAACGGAGGGGGAGGAAGAAGACGGCGAGAGAGACGGCCTCGGGGCTGCCAGTGCGGCCTGTGGAAGCGTGTCAGTAAATTTAACCTAACCGAATGCCGGGGCGTGCAGCCCCCGCACCGCCCTGCCGCCCGCGCTACAACATCTCGGCTGCATCGTGCACTGCACACCCGCGGCCACCTACTCTGCCATCCTCCGAAACAGTCCTGCCGCTGGTCGGTGCTGTTGGTTTCTTAAAATCGCAAATTCGCGAGGATGCGTCACCCTGTTTGATATCTTCATGTGAATTGTAACATTGATTCGTGACGAAAAAATCTACGTCGAAATCGAGTTGATTTTAACGGCGTCAAATTCGCGCGAGTCTCTATCGGAATCTCCGATCAAGAGCGTACGCGATTAAAATGCAAGAATTTAATCGAGTGCGCGCGAGCGCGTCATCATTCTTTTCAACCTAATTACCTCCGCTTCTGTAACTTTTAATGAACGAGGCGCACTTCACGATCCATCGACTCTCCCTCAATGTTCGGGATTACATTGCGCCAGTACGCGAATCGCGCACCACGAAGCAGAGATGAAAGAAGAGGCGGAAGAGAAGGAGGAGGTAGCAAAAGAGAAAGAAGAAGACCAAGCAGCCCGAATTACACACCGGCCGGCCGAGAGTCTCGCTCCTCGCTCCTCGCTCGCTCGCTCGCTCGAAGATCCTTATCGACTGCGCCTGGATGCTTCATCGACGACCTACGACGGAGGAAAAGGAAGAGCAGCGCAGCGCGAGGGTCGGAGGTTGAGCGTTGCTCGATCGACAGCTGCCACGAAGCCGCCTCCACCCCTCGCGTAGGTGAGATTCTTTCGCGGGTCTCTCTCCCGCGTTATTTCGTTATTTATTTTGCCTCCTTCGGATCGGATCGGGCGATGTCTGCCGATAACGCCCGCGGATCTCCGTAGCTTGACGAGTCGAAATCGACGACGCGTTACGTTACCGCGCCGCCCCCGGATTTGTTTCGAATTCTAGCGCGACACTGCCGCGTAGCAACCACGGAATACGTCCCGCTACGCGCATATCTCGAATTGTCTCCGTCGAGACACGTGGAAGGCGTGTGATAGATAGTCGGGACGATGAAGAAATTAATATCGTGTTGGCCGCGTACGTTGTCGGGCCGAGATCAACGAACGGGTCTTTGTAACGCAGCTCTCTGAATTGGACGGTCTCTCTTACATAAGATGGAAATGAATGACACCGCCGAAGAGACCCACTGAAAGGATCTTATATAAGCGATCGAAATTGAAAATTTCCAGATAAAGAACTAATACGGCGAAACAGCAGCTTGCTTCGACGTGATGAAGTGTGAAAGTTGCTACAATTTTAAGCATTTGCTTTGAAAAGTAATACCTCCTCTGGCCCTTTTAGCTTCGGCGACGGCTGCATTCGAAATACAGTCATAAATATTAAGTTGAGAAAAAAATGCTGATATATTCATTGCATTCTACACCGCATGTTTCGACTTCAACGGTTTCTCACAGAAATCTTTTAGTCTTTTTTCACTCTTGAAAATTTATCGATGTTACATTTTTATTCTACGTAATGGGAGAATTAGAGACCTCCATATTGATTATTATAACTCAAAAATAATCGAATTTTTTAATTGTAACGAATAAACCGTTAATAGATTAAAATTATTTTCGTAGCAACGCATACTAATAAAATAATCCAGAGAAAGAGAAAAGCTTTACAAGTCTATTTTCTAACGCGAAACCGTTCTATTAATTGATGCACGGCGAGATTACTAACGCTATAGAATTATATTTAATTAAAACGCATATGTGTGAATACGGAAGTGTGTTGGGGAAAAAAAGCGCACCCACGACGCGAATAAAATATTCAAATTCCGCATGCTCTAAATAACGCTGTAAGCCGTACAAAAAACCGCGGATAATTATATGACCCGCCGAAACAGAGTCCGGGAAGAGCGTTTTACCGTTAATCCACTCGTATATCGGCTCGATGCAGCCAGTGGACCGATGCACGCGGGCCCGCGAAATAAAGATCAATGATAATGGTGAGGTCGCGGCGAGAAGAAAGCGCGCGGCCACAAATTTTCGCGCACTTTTAATTACGTCCCGTTAACTGGCAAAGTCTATCGATTTCCGTCCACCCGTGGTAATTGAGCCCTCCCACCTTACTCCCTTTCGGCTCTGTCGTACTTTCTCGGGCTACCAGTGAACCGCGAACCGCGGAGTCCCTCAGCGCTCTTCAATTCCGCTCCTTCCCTCGGCCTTCACCTCTCTTTTTCCTCCCCATTTTTTTCGAGCCCTTTAAACCGCCCGAAGAAATGGAGTTTGCGGTTTGGCGTGTTTGCTAAATAAACGGGACGCGCCCGCCTCTTTTGATGGCCCCGCAGAAAGACAGCACACATCCGTAGTCCGTACATCGCGGCCCATTAAGCGGCTAATAAGTGGACAGAGGCGGGTTACCAGCTACACGCGCACGGTTCCTTCCTTCTCCAACGCTTGCCTTCTCAC